AATTAATTCCAAACTAATTCTTTATCAATACTAATTAAATAATATTATTATATATTAGAACTTATAATATATTAATAAACCTTAAGTGTTATTTCTCTCATTTTGGACTATCCAAATGCATGATGCCATGCAACCCAAATGGACCATGCTAATCGGGTCAAGTACATCCCAGAAATAGTCATGAACTTAGACACCTAATCCAATAGCTCCATCACAGGCACCATTCAGGGACGACCCTGAGAATGATCTGATCCCCCGCCTTATGACTCAGTTCGACCAGCTATCCGACCGAGTCCATTCCCTAGAGGAGCTCTATAGAGCTTCAGGCTCTACTTTAATAGAGCAACGAGTCGTAAGACTCGAAGAGGGAGAGAAGGAGGACTATGTGGCCATCCAGACACTTTATCATCGTGTAGGTGCTAACTGCACCGAGGCGAACGCTATGAGTGCTCATTAAAAAGCATTAGCATACAAGACCCAAATCGCGGAGAGTCTGATGGATGCAGCTAAGCACCGAGCAGTTGTTGCTGAGCAAGGGCAACGTCATCACCAGGAGTAGTTCGATGAACTGGTCCTCTATCTGATTTCACGTTTTGGGCAATAGAAGTTTCGTCTAGGGTGGCTTGTGTCCTAGGACATGGTTAGAATTTTTGAGGAATAGCTTTTGTTTTGCAAGTGTTTATCACTACCTGAGTTGCAAATGTTCTTTTGTAAACCTTTCCATTTCTTACCTTACACGGTTGGTACCTTTGTAACAAAAAACAAGTAGTTCTAATATATGAAACTACTTCCAATATTGTTAAATGTTGAAACTTATTATTTGTATTGCTTGTGACATACTATCATTACTCACACTACTACAAAAACACCCTTTTAACGCTCAGATGACATGCAAATGCGTGTCAAGGAAGGCCATGTCATAACGAAAGACGACACGCAAATGCGCGTTGTCTATTTACGACGCGCTCTTACGACACACAATGTGTGTCAAGGAAGGCCCTATCATAAAGAAGACGACGCGCATTGGCGTGTCGTAACCTTACGACGCGCGTTTACGACTCGCATTGCGTATCATTAAAGCCCCTGTCATAAAGAAAGATGACACACATTTTTACGTGTCATAATTTTAAATGTTTTAAATATATATTTTTATTTTGATATATTTACTAAATTTAAAATTGAATAAAACATTTAAAGTCTCATAATACAAAATAAAATACTTATATAACAAAACAATCCATTTCATAAAATAAATGTACTAATATTCAAAATAAATCACATTTAATTGTTATTTTATTAACATCAGTCAAACTAGAAAAACAAATATTCGTAATCCAAATAACAACAAGCATAAAACACAAACTATTTTGGAAATCTGGATCTTTGTTACTTGTGCACAATGTAATAGCACCTCTTTTTATTAACTACCATAGTGCAGATTCGGCTTTTTCCATTGTTTTAATCCCCTATCATTCTTCAAATACCAACCTCTGTATGTTAAACTGCATTGACACAAATACAAAGGTAAAGTGATAATTATAAGGAATACTACATTCACCAAAAAAAAATACAAAACTAAAAAAAGGATAAGATAAATCTTATTTTAACATTGATTTCATAAACCAACATGGTGATAATATGTGGTTCTTAATATACCATGGGAACAAAAAATGTAATTTAGAATATAGACCAAAAAAGAATGATGTTTTAAAAGAAACAAATCCTAGAAAAAAATAAAAATAAAAATAATAAAGTGAGAGTGAGTCAAGAGTAAGACTTACAGCCAACGAGGTGGAGGGCAGTGGATATGTGTCACTTGGAAATTATGCAAATCCAAAACACCAGACCTGAATTTACAAAAAAACAAGAAAACTAAATGACAAATTTATTTATAAAAAATTAAATAACAACTTTATTTATATTCTGACTTACCCTCTTGTGCTCTTACAACATTAGAGACATTATCCAACTGATTTGTGTTAAAACCTTTTGATTCTGTATGAATGTTGGAATTTTCATTTTGCTCTCTTGAAATTAATCTAACTACATATATATATATATATATATATATATATATATATATATATATATATATGGTAAAGAAGTCAAAAACTCTGTACTATTGAGCCTATGACAGTGAAAGCAGTATTCATGTTTTTATAAAACTTATAAGAATAAGAATCTGGAACATATATGATGCATATAGAGACAAGAGATGGCATCATTAACAGAAGATAGGGTGTGGCTAGAAATGTACTTCTTTTAAAACCTAAATAAATTGACCATTGATGAATTTAGGATGTAATCATGACTAAAAATCTAAAACTGGCAAGTCAAATTACTACTAGCAATAATACAATTTCAAAAGGGGTAACCAAATCATATAGTAAAAGAGAACCAGAAAATAACCACATCTGTGAGAAGAACTCAAAGTTAGTAACTAGTGATTGGGACCACTTATTAGTTAGAATGGTAAATTTTGTCTTTCTGCAATCATATGGACCACAAACTCAAGATATATACATCAGCTTGACCTGCATGAGCCAGTGGTTTAGTGACTACACCAAACTAGCAAACACTACACAAATTTCCATGATCAGATTACAAAACCACAAGGTGCATCCTTGTGAAATTACTTTTCAAATGTCATTGCAGAAGAATGGATATGTTGAGACTTTTTAGGTCAAACCTTAGACTTTCAAATTCGAAATTAACCTGAATGATCTACCAAATTTAACCTAAAACTAGTTTATGAGAGTAGGAATTTCATAAAGTTAACCTTTTTAGTGCGACAATTTGGTTGACAGCTGTGATTTATAAAACGACCCATGTTTACTTTAGCACAAGCATCTATAACCTGAAAATAAAAACAATAAAAAAGAAACCATGTGAATAGACCTTTATGATAGGAATCACAACTGCCACTAGTTCTATTTTCAGTTTTTTATTGTTTTTAAGCTATCCACTTTCATTTATTATATTAATAAAACTATATTAGTTGTTGGGTGATTTAACGGATGTATAAGTTGCAACCAAATGATAACTAAAACTCCAGCTTCTTCACAAGCTGCAAAGTGCTAAAGCAAACAAAACGTAATCAATAATCAGATCGAAGTATATATTATGAGTAAGTAATAAAGTACATGTAACACAATAAAGTATTTTTAAGGAACTTATGATTTTAAATGTTATTTTATGTTATTCTTCTTCTAAAAGTTGAGAGCCAAAATATTTTATGTTATAGTCAAAGCTTCCAATATTTGCAATAAGAGACCCCACGCCCTCTTATCCGGGGCTGCTTCTTATACATCAGTCCCACTCCATACCTAAATTCAAGGTGGATGCCTATATGTCAAATTTATATTGTTTCTTTTTTTAACTGAATGACCATTTTACCCTCAAAAGAGAAGTAATGTTGTTAATGAGGCTAACTTGCATCATGTAATGACTTGACATGTTTACGGAAAAGCTTTTCAAGATCTGATTGGTCTAGATATGAACTGATTGCACGCCCTTCTCTAGCTTAATCTTTGCATCCGTCCATGAAACCTAAATCATCAATTAATTAATTAATTAATTAATGAAACAAAAATATTATATCATAAAAACTGTATCAATGATCTAATCTAAAGTGTATATTCTAAGGATAATGATAATCAGCTAGTTATTGCATCTACTAAGGATTTTGATTTGAACTCAAATTTGTATATTTTGATCATTTATTTCTATCAGTTTGTATATGAGGTTTTATCATTTTTGACTCCGACTCTTTGTTTTAAGAATTTTTTTTCTTACAGCTTAACAGAGTTATTGCATCTACTAAAGGTTTGGATTATGAATCTAAATTTATTTTGTATATGAGGTTTTATCATTTTTATCTCCGGTTCTCTCAAATGATGAGTGGCTTTGTATTCGCATTAAAAGTGCAAAACACACAAGTATCCCTTAATCTCATTAGGGCGCCTCATCATAAAAGAGAATAAGAACTTAAAACAGCCGACAAAATAAGAACTTAAAACAGAAAAAGAAAAATAAAAACTATGTGTTGTTACCTGAAGAAGAATATCAAGGGTATATTTTGTATGGTCATTAGGGTATGTAAGACCCAGCAAAAGTGTTGGCACAAGGGAGGCGATTTCAGGATTCTTTATCACACTACCAACCTATAATACAATAATATATTTACAATATTGAAAAATGTACAACTGATACATGAAATACAAAGACAATAAGAATGAAACCAGTTGAAGAAGCAGCTAACCTTGAAAAGGGTCAAATAACCATCACGTACAAGTGCCCTTTGATGTGAGCAGTTGCGTATGATGTTAGGAAGAAGGTGTTCAAAATATTATGTTCCAAGAGCAGCCACTACCTATAGAGATGAAGAGACATCCTTTAATCCCCATAAACAGATTGAAAAATGGACAAAAGAATCAAAATTTATGATTTATAAACTCAGCTAAATTCTGACCTCACTCAACCCTTGAGCAACACTAGATCTTTTAACATTACTACAATCAGATTTGAGTGTGTCTAGCAACCATGGAACAAGATCTGGGAAGTTCTCTTCTCCTATTCCTCTTATTAGAGACCCAACAACTGCTACAGATCAAACTTCAGGAATTAGATCCACTAATACCTGTTTTAAGTGAGATGTATTAGATAACATTGGTATGATTATTACTAAACATACATTTGGCACAACATACATAAAGGATACTCATACTATACCTTCTTAATTTCAGGAAAAAGCAATCGTATATAAGGAAGCAAATCCTTCGGGTCAGTGACTAGTGAACACATATTTCCAGCAATTTGCGCAACCTTCTTTTTCGTTTCGACACTCCTCTCCCTGAAACCACGATGAACAATAAGAAAGTGTATGATACAAGTTCGGATAAAAACATCGTTTAACCTGCCGGCGGCCCACCCCACTAGCGTCGATACCACAACTGCCATCAATTCGAAGTTGAAGTAGCTTGTTTTAACTTTTGTCAAATATGGAGATGGAGATGAAAATGGCGATGGGCCTTGTTACTACTTTAGAGAAGGCAACCCTAATGTCAAAGCAACTTTTCTCCAAATCCACCGCCACCGCCACAGACTCTGCTAAAATCTATGCCTCCCTCCATGCTGCTCACTGGCAACTCTCTCTCATCCTCTCTCACATCGCACAACCCTCTGCAAATGTAACTGATGGAGATGATGCACCGATGGAAGTTGCCGATGAGGAGCAAAAACCGGTGGATGGAGCAAGACAGGAGGATTAGAAGATGGCTATGATCGATTCGGTGGAGGAACGGATGAAAAATTGCTTTGTTCAGAAGAACAAGGGGCCAAAACGGCCGTTATCGCCGACGTGGTTGGCCGTTGGGCAGAAGAGGTGGTGGTTGGAGTATGAAAGTGACTCGGCTAGGGTTGGAATTGATTACGATCTTCATATGACGTGGTTGGCCGCTGGGCAGCAGAGGCAGAGCTTCATTAATTAGGTCATGGAAAAGAGAAGGGGTTTGCGGCTGGTAGAAGATGAGAATAAGGCGGGGGTTTTAATTTTTTGGGATTTGATTTCCCTCCTTAGCTATTAAAGATGGAGAACGGGCGTTTGATGAAAACTTTATAAAACGACATGCTTAGACGACACGCCTTTTATGCTGAGTGCCCTCCGTGTTTTTTTTCTTTTTTGACACTAGTTTTAAGGGCACGCAAAAAAATGTGTGTCCTAAATCCTTCAAATTTTAGAAGAGATGATATTATTTTTAGGACACACGATTTTGCGTATCGTAAATCACTGTGTGTCATGGTTCGCGTGTCATTAAAGGCCTATATTCTAGTAGTGTCAGTTGAAAACATTGGTTGAAACTCTCATTCTATGATTTAGAAATATGTAAGATTTCAGGAACAAGTTACACTAATACATTATCATTAAATACAACTTGTTTATAGCTACATAGTGTAACACAATTTAACATGTCCGCACAAACATATTAGGATGATGGCCCCACGAAAGGAATCACGAGTTCGTCCACCACCAACTCCCTGAGGCAATCGAAGAGGTGCACCAGTGGTGACTCAAACATTGTTAGAAACTCCAAACTTCAGGGGAACCCCAGGTGAAACTAATGTAAACCCACCTTTTCAAATGGATCTTACTCTAATGTAGACCCTGCTTGCGTAGGTGATTGCTACAGCCTTATCCGCATACGCGGGTGCCCGGAATGACAACACCGGGAACAGTAGAAATGGTGGTGGCACTCCAGCTATGAACCGAAACAATTCAAGGCCTTGTTCATACAAGTATTTAATAGGCTGCAAACCCTCATCCTTCTAAGGCACGGAAGGAGTCGTTGGTCTATCCCGCTGGATAGAAAAGATGGAAACAGTATTTCACATCAGTGCTTGAACTGAGGACTATTGAGTGAAATATCCCACCTGTACATTGATGGATTACACCTTGACTTTGTAGAATATCCATTCTAAGTCCATGGGGATCGATGAAGCCTATGCCATGGGCTGGGAACCTCTTAAGTAGATGATTATCAAAGAATATTGCCTACAACAGGAAGTACAAGCTCTGGAGTAGGAGCTTTGGAACCTTACCATGTAAGGATCGGAGGTGGCTTCCTTCACCTCTCGATTCAATGACCTTGCAAACCTTTTCCCGAGAATGGTGACCCCGGAATACAAAAAGACAAAGAGGTACATCTGAGGACTAGCATCACCAGTCCACGGTCTGGTTACTGCATCCAGACCAACCACTTTCGATAGTGTCAAGCAATTAGCCTATCAGTTGACTGAGAAATGTATCTGTCAGGGTACCATAACCCCCCCCCCCCAAAAAAAAAAAATAGAAGAACCAAGATGGGAGTACAAAGATGAAGTTCCATGGAAACCCGAAAGGGAACTTCAAGCATCGCAAGCCCAATCCAGAACATGTGGTTGTGTATGTTGCGATCACAAACACTCCCACTCCAGCAAATCCCTATTCTGAAACCTTACCCTACTGTACTAAGTGCAACTTACCCGATGTTGGAAATTGCTTGATCTGCAACATCTACAATTTGAGGGGTCACACCTCTAAGTTTTGTAGAAAGGCCCCGAACAACAAAACCTCAACCACTTGAATGGGAAGAGCCTAAGAATCATCTCTTGCATGAAGGCGAGAAAGGTTTTGCAGAAGAGATACTTCGCTTTCATGGCCCACGTGGTGGCTATGCAAGACAAGGGTAAGAAAATCAAATACATACCGCAAGTGCGCGACTACCCGGACATATTTCCAGAGGATCCACCTGGAGTACCTCCAGTCAGGCAGGTCAAATTCCAAAACGACCTAATCTCGGGTGTAGCACCAGTGGAACGATCTCCTTGTCGTCTGGCTCCATCGGGAATGCAAGAACTCTCTAGTCATCTTCAAGAAATTCTTGACAAAGGCTTTATCCGGACAAGCTTCTCTCGATGGAGAGCTCCAGTATTGTTTGTCAAAAAGAAGGATGGATCGTTCAGGATGTGCATCGACTATCGAGAGTTGAACAAGCTCACCATCAAAAACCGGTATCCACTCCCGAGGATCGATGACCTGTTCGATTAACTGCAAGGATCCTGATACTACTGGAAGATCGATCTAAGATCCGAATACCATCAACTTAAAGTTCAAGAAGCAATTTTTTACAAAGACAACATTTTGGACTCGATCTGGTCACTACGAGTTTTTGGTTATGCCATTTGGACTGACCAATGCACCAGACGTATTCATGGACCTTATGAATCGGGTGTGTAAACCCTACTTGGATAAATTCATGATCGTTTCATCAATGACATATTGATATATTCACGAACCAAGGAAGAACATAGCCAACACTTATGTTTAATTATAGAACTTTTAAGAACAGAGAAACTTTATGCAAAGTTTTCTAAATGTGAGTTATGGATTAACGAAGTACATTTCCTCGGCCATGTGGTTAACAGTAAAGGGATTCATGTCGATCCCGCAAAGATCAAAGTGGTTAAGGATTGGAAAGCACCAACGACATCAACTGAAGTATGCCAATTCTAAGGTATGGCAGGCTACTATCGAAGATTCATCGAGAACTTCTCCAAGATAGCCAAACCTCTCACCGCTCTAACCCATAAAAACACAAAGTTAGATTGCGAGACAGCCAAAAGTCTGCCTTCCTAAAATTGAAACAATTGTTGTGCGGTACACCAATTTTGTCTTTTGCGGAGGGAATAGAAGAATTTGTAGTATTTTTGTGACGCCTCACACCAAGGGTTAGCATACATACTAATACAGAGAAATAAGGTCATTGCATACGCATCTCAACAACTGAAGTCAAACAAGACAAACTACACTACTCATGACTTAGAGTCGGGAGTTGTAGTGTTTACTTTACAGATTTGGAGACACTACCTGTATGGAACAAAGTGTGTCGTATTCACCGACCACAAAAGCCTCTAACACATCTTCGATCAGAAGGAGCCCAACATGAGACAACGAAGGTGGGTCGAGTTGCTAAATGATTACGAATGTGAAATTCGTTATCATCCTGGTAAAGCAAATGTTGTGGCAGATGCTTTAAGCAGGAAAGAGCGAGCAAATCCACTTCGTGTAAAAGCCTTAACCCTAACCATCCCCTCCAACCTCACCAGCCAAATTCGAGATGCTCAGCTAGAAGATGGAACACGATATTTCGAGAACCGAATTTAGACCCCAAAATTTGGTGAAGTTAGGAGTTTAGTTTTAAATGAAGCTCATAAATCGAGATATTTGATATATCCTAGATCAGATAAGATGTATCTCGATCTTAAGAAGCTTTATTAGTGACCCAACATGAAGGCAGAGATTACCACCTACGTTAGTAAATGCTTGACTTGCTCTAAAGTCAAAGCAGAGTACCAGAAGCCATCTAGCCTACTACAACAACCATCAATCCTAGAATGGAAGTGGGAACAAATAACCATGGACTTCATAACAAAGTTTCCAAAAACATCAAGTGGTTATGAAACCATCTAGGTAGTGTTTGACCGTTTGACCAAATCCGCCCATTTCCTAGCCATCAAAAATACCGACAAGATGGAGAAACTCACCACGACCTATCTTAAGGAGATAGTCGGGCTGCATGGTATACCAATATCTATCATCTCGGACCGAGATAGCAGATTCACTTCCAGATTTTGGCAATCACTGCAAAGGTCTCTAGGAACCAAACTCGATATGAGTACATCCTACCATCCCCAAACGGATGGCCAGAGCGAAAGAACAATACAAACTATGGAAGACATGATCCACGCTTGTGTGATAGACTTTGGTAATGCATGGGACACTCACTTGCCACTAGTTGAGTTTTCATACAACATTAGTTATCACACTAGCATAAAGGTCGCTCCATTCGAGGCCTTGTACGGGCTCAGATGTCGTTCTTCGATATGTTGGGCAGAAGTTGGAGATACTCAATTAGATAAAAAGCATGTTGTAGATACTCTACTCACTGGTCCTGAGATCATTCATGGAACGACGAAGAAGATCGTTCAGATAAAGGAACGACTAAAGGTGGCACGTAGTCGGCAGAAAAGTTATGCTGACATAAGATGCAAACCATTAGAATTCAAAGTAGGAGACCGTGTCCTGCTAAAGGTTTCACCATGGAAGGCTGTCATTAGATTTGAAAAACGAGGTAAACTAAATCCCCATTACATCGAACCTTTCGAAATCCTGGCAAGGGTTGGTCCGGTGGCTTATAAACTCAAGTTACCTCAAGAACTCAACAAAGTTCACGATACCTTCCACGTGTGTAATCTTAAAAAGTGTCTCTTTGATAAGAACCTCATAATTCCACTCAATGAGATCCATGTCAACGATAAACTTCACTTCGTGGAGGAATCGGTGGAGTTCATGGATCAAGAAATCAAAAGCCTCAAAGAAAGCCACATACCTATAGTAAAAGTCCAATGGAACTCTCATAGAGGACCGAAGTTTACTTGGGAATGTGAGGATCAGATGAAACAAAAGTACCCACAACTGTTCAGCGGTGCTCCTTCGACTAATGGAACAAAATAATAGTAGAATAAAGTAGTCTAGAACTTAATGATTTCGGGACGAAATTCCGTTAATGGGGAGGTAATGTGACATCCCAGAATTTAGCTCTAAAACTATAGACAATCAATTTGTAGTATATCTCTTTGTAATTTAACTCATTGAGTTTTAGTGCATCTTTTGTAAAATAAATGATTTCATTTCAACTATTATAAGATATCAGATGGTATATTACCTCCAGTT